TTTTTACAGAGAGGAAGGGAGAGAGATAGTTAGAAACATCGACGAGAGAGAAATATCAATCAGCTGCCTCCTGCACATCTAATGGGGATGTGCCCACAACTCAGGTACATGCCCTTGACCGGAATCGAACCTGGGACCCTTCAGTCCGCAGGCCGACGCTCTATCCACTGAGCCAAACCGGTTTCGGCAGGGCTGCTTTTCTTATCATACTCTCCTATTAAAATGTCAGGTCTGTGAGGATTGATATTTGCATGTCTTGGGCACTATTGCATCCCCAGAATCTGAGGGAGAGCAGGTGCTCAATAAATGTTCATTGAACGAATTGAAGAAATGTTTTCAAGGGACACACATTTACACAAACTGGGACACACATACATATTTCAGATGCAGACACACCCTTTCTACACAGACAACATCCTCTTGTTCATTCATATTCAACATTTATGATCAACTACCTTTACCCATTGCCCGGCCGGCATGGCTCAGTGGTTGAGCATCAACCTATGAACCAGAAGGTCACGGTTCAATTCCTGGTCAGGGCCCATGCCCAGGTTGTGCGTTCAATCCCCAGTGTGGGGCATGCAGGAGGCAGCTGACCAATGATTCTCTCATCATTGATGTTTCTATCTCTACCTCTCCCTTCCTCTCTGAAATCAATAAAAATATATATTTTAAAAAACTTACACACACACACACACACACACACAACCATTAGCTCCAACTGGCTTGGCTCAGTGGATAGAGTGTTGGCCTGCAGACTGAAGGGTCCCGGGTTCGATTCCAGTCAAGTGCCTGTACCTTGGTTGCAGGCTCCTCCCTGGCCCAGTCCCTGGTTGGGGCTTGTGCAGGAGGCAACCAGTCAATGTGTTTCTCTCAGATATTTTTCTCTGTCTTACCCTCTCTCCTCCATTCTCTCTAAAAATCAATGGGAAAATATCCCTGGGTGAGGATTTTAAAAACCCTAAAATTAAAAAAACAAAACAATCTTTATCCACTGACTTTATCTACTCACTGACCCAACGTTTCCACAGGACACCCATTCTAAACTGATTCTATACTCCCCTTGCCTACATTTGTTACCTGATTCTTACTCAACTGGACACACTTGGCTCGGAACACATACAGTTCTCCTCATTCAGAATTTGAACACATACACAGCCACACAAGCAATAGGCACATATAAACTGCACACAACAGCCCTAGCCAGTTTGGCTCAGTGGATAGAGCATCAGCCTGCAGACTGAAGGGTCCCAGGTTTGATTCCAGCCAAGGGCAAATGCCTGGGTTGTGGGCTCGATCCCCAGTAGGGGGTGTGCAGGAGGCAGCCAATCAATGATTCTCTCTCATCATTAATGTTTCTATCTCTCTATCCCTCTCCCTTCTTCTCTGAAATCAATATATTTAAAAAAAAAAAAACTGCACACAACATACATTCAACACAAAACACACACAGGCACACAAACACACCCTCATTCGACATGATACATACTCCCCACACATATAGATCCATAGTTTATGCCACAACTCAACAATAAAGACAAGGATGTATGTACATACACCAGTCCCAGGTCCTCAGCCTTTGGTCAGCTGGGGCAGGGGGCGTGGTGCTGGAAAACACCTCCCCTGCATCAAACCACGCCCCTTTAGTCCGTTTCCTGGACTTAACCCTGAGGTGTCTCAGCAGCACCCTAGACCCCAGTCCTGCTAACAGGTGAGAGGGGCCCCAAGGGGACATGGGGGTGGTGGGGGGGATCGTCTTGTCTCCACAGACTCTGTCCTCTGACCTGGGATTTCTGGACCCCAGCGGAGGAACCTGACTCCTGCCACAGCCAAGCTTGGCTCCAAAGGCCCAGCCCTGAGTAGCAGCCCCTAAGCCGATTGTAGACTGAGAAGGTGACCATGAGAGGGGCGAGTGGGGATTGAGAGGGAGGGCGGAGACTGGGCAGAAGACAGGACTTACTGGGCAGGACAGTGAAAGAGCTGGAGATGTCCCCTTAGTTCTGAAAATGGAGGGGGTTGTCTAAGAGCTGGAAGGATGGGAGGTGCTGGTGGATGTGAGGGGGGCGGGGCAGCATGGTCAAACTGGGTAACACTTGGGATGGGGGTGGGGGGCAGGACTCCTGGGTCAGAGCCAGGCCTCGGTGGCCCTCTGGGATTTTAAGGTCTTTGGTCAATGCCTCCCAACTGCCCATTCTCTGCTCTGCCTGGTACCATCCTTGAGTGTACATCAAGCGTATCACCCTGAGCTCCCAGAAAAGGATAGCCAAACCTCACCCATAACTGAGCTGACTCTTATCTCAGGTGGACATGGCCTGCAGGGGCTGTACACGACCAAGGGGCCTGGCCTGGGTCCTGCAACTGACCTTGGCATGGATTCTGCTAGGGGCATGTGGAAGGAGCCGTGCACTCCCCATTAGGTCCCAGAGACACCATAGGCTGGCAGCTGATCTGGGTACAGGCCAGCTGCACCTAGCAGGTGAGCACTCCAGACCCTGCCTAACCCCTAACTCCCAAGAATGCACAGTCCAACACAGCAATAACAATTTCCTTATAACAGGAACTTAGATTGACCAGTGTGGGCAGCCTGGGCTAGTGCTTAAGAATGTTGGTTAAAGATAACAGGCTTTGGAGTCAGATTGTCTGGGCTCAAATACAAACTTTGCCACTTTGTAGCTGTGTGACCCTAGGCAAGTCACTTAACCTCTCTGGGCCTTATGTGGGCCATTAATAAGTGGGAGAGCCTGGCTAGGATGGCTCAGTGGTTGAGCATCCACCTATGGACCAGGAGGTCAGGCTTCAATTCCCAGTCAAGGCACATATCCGGGTTGTAGACTCGATTCCCAGTGTGGGGTGTGCAGGAGGCAGCCAATAAATGATTCTTTTTTATCATTGATGTTTCTATCTTTCCCTCTCCCTTCCTCTCTGAAATAAATTTAAAAAAAAAACACTTTTTAAAAAGTGGGAGAAATAATAGAAATCGTAGGGGTGTTGTAAAGGGGTGTATGCAAGCATTTGAGCACTAATACCACTACTAGGGACATGAAAATAATTAGCTGATTATGATTATGATAAATGATTATTACTTGCACCTCAAAGTATCTTGTTTTATGTTTGAGAGGAATTATATTATTGAGGTCAACCCTACATGAGGATCCAAAGCCTCAACTGAAAGAAGTTCCCTTCTCTATTGCCCTGTTTGCTGTCCCTCAGAGATGGACACGGCAGAGGCACCGGAACCTGGAATCCTCTCGGAGGGCTGCAGGAAGCCTAGTCCCAGGTGAGTACAGCGTCACCCAGTGTTTCCTTATGCTTTTTGCTCCAGTTGCCCCACCAGGGGCCAGAGCCCCCTGGCATCTTGACCCATCCAGTCCTGTCTCTCCCGATGTCCAGGTGCGAATCCTTTCTGGGACACCTCCAAGCTGCTCTCCGCAGTCGCTTCCGCCTCCTGCTACTGGGGGTACACCAGACACAGCTGCTCTGCCCGGAGCTCTGCCATGCCTGGTAGGAGGTGGGAAGAATGGCCTATATTGTGGGTGGGGCCAAAGGCAGGTTCTGCAGCTTACAGGTCCTTGAGTTTGAAGGGACATGGCCTACCACCAACGCGGCCAGGTTCTAAGGCATGAGGCCTGGTGTTTTGAAGCCAGGCAGAAAGGGGAGGGGCCTGTATATCCCCTGGCTTTTTTAAAAAATATATTTT